ACATTAATAGACGCCAAAAAAAAGTTAATAGTAAAATAATAAAAAAAAAAAAAAARAAGGGAAAATAAAAAAAGGGCTGCTGGTCTTATTTTCTCCAATGAGATTTTATGTCTAGTTAGTATGGATTTTACTAACGATCGAGCTAATTTGTATGCTCGGTTCCTTTCAGACACGACCCCTCGTAAAACGGCGAATGAAAGACGAAAGAGATCGTATGTATATGTATACGTGTACCGTGTAGATGCATTTAGGTTTATTCATGTATGTATACACGTATATAAAAGTCAATGAGAGACAGAGAGAGAGAGAAAAAGAGACAAAGAACGCGAATGGTTCAGTGTCCGTTGTAAAGACCCCTACTTTTCTTTTTTTTTCTTTCTTTCATATTCTCTCTCTCTCTCTCTCTCTCTCTCTTTTACTTTCTCTTTCTGTCGTTTTCGAAGCCACTCGTCTGTAGCTCACCTAATGGCCAGCTCAAGGATGCATTTACATGAAAATACCTAGAAAGATGCTTAAGCATTATTGGTGTGTTTCACGTTCCCTGTTTCAGCATGGTAGACAGGTAAGCGACGAGATAACGTCAACTATTGAACAAAAAATTTGTGGCATGGGTAAGATAAATAACGACTTCAAATATCTAAATGACGTATAAGTGTATTTTATGTATTCGTTCTAACATTATCATAAATTCTGTTTCTTTCTTTTTTTTTTAAAAAGAAAAATGATCATTCAATGTCATTCAATTTGAATTAGAACAATTTCAATCAATTTATTCGTATAAGGATTGATTTTCAATGTATTTTAAGTTGCATTATTATAATGAACTGGTAAATGATAAGATAATGTCAATTATTCATATAATTTGTGGTATCAGTAGATAAAAGAGGACTTTAAATATCTGAATAATGTATAATATGTGTATTTTATAAATTGATTTAAATATTATTACATAAATATCTTTTTTATTAGAAAGGATTATATAATGTCATACAATTCATGTTAAAACTATTATATTTATTCGTATATGATTGATTTTCAATGTTATTTTAGGTAGCATTTTTATAATTGATAGGCAAAAGGATAAGATAATGTCAAGTATTCAGATAATTATTAGGTACGGCTAAATAAAAGAGGATTTCAAATATCTGAATGAATTTATATTTCGAAATATCCATATAATTCATTCGTGTATTTCGTGTAGCCATTGAACGTGTACCACAAATTTTCTTTCAAATATTATTCATATACTTTCATTAAATTCCAGGATTTAAAAAGAAATAATTTATTCGTATGCAATTGATTTTTAATGTGATATAATACACAGGTAAATTTGGAGATAACATCAATTATTGTTGGATTAATTTATGATACTAAGAGAATTCTATAGAAATAACATTTCTCAATATTCAAACTCTCTTACTATTATAATTAAATATTATACCCAAATCCACATTATGTGACTATATATGTTGTATTTACATTTATTAAATATTATTTATTGATCAGCATAATAATTAAAGTATTTTTTTATTAAAAACTATATCGATACTAAGACATACTAACAAGGAGACGGTCAGTAAGTCCAACCTCAGATTTTTTTAAAAGTTCGGGTAAATATTTTTTATACTAAAAGTAAATAGATTTTAATGAAGCTTATATTAAACTAAAGTACACTCTTTGGTCTACGCGTATAATAACTTATTGAGTTATAAATCAATTTGCAAAGGTTCATAAAATGTCAGAGAATGCAATACTGCAAATTGTGCATCTTTGCAATTTCTTTGAAAAGTTTTGGTCAATATTTTTTATACTTTTAGCAAATGGATTTTAATGATTTTTATATTAAATTAAAATACACTCTTTTGTCTATGCGTAGAATACCATATCGAGTTATAAATTAATCTGCAAATGTTCATAAAATGTCAGAGAATGCAATTCTGAAAATTGTGCATCTTTGCCATTTCTTTGAAAAGTTTTGGTAAATATTTTTTATACTTTTAGCAACTGGATTTTAATGATTTTTATATTAAATTAAAGTACACTCTTTTATCTACGTGTAAAATACCATATCGAGTTATAAATCTATTTATAAAGGTTCAGATTATATTTCCTATAAAATTATTAGAAAATACTCTTAAAATAATAAACAAAAAATTTATTAAGCTTACTTCACAATACCGAAAAAAAGAAATAAGACAGCAAAGAAAAAGAAAGAAAAGGAAAAGAATGAAGAGAAAAAGAAAGATAGAAAGGTAAATATACTTGTTAGCGTTGTCAAGATAAGATATAGGTATTGGCGATGTCAAAATACACACACTACACTACTACAGCCAAAAAAAAACGTATCTATGTGAAATTTCAATTCGCATTTTTTCGCAAACGAATACTTATCTACGACTAGTTTTCAGCAAAATGAATTTTCTCATGGAATACTATAAGTATGAAAAATTTGAAAAAAATCTGAGGTGGGTCTCACTGACCGTCTCCTTGTAAAACAGTACAGTGATTAAATAAAAAAAAGACTGAGAAAATCGGAAAAATGTAAACGTGTATTACTTGCATTAATTGAATCATTATTACAAACATTTTCTATAAAAATATTCAGACAAATGGGTAATTGTTGGTAAAATTCAATTCAAATCAATGGTAAAATTAAAAAAAAAAAAAAGAGAGAAAAAGTAGAAGTAATTAAATAAATATCTATTCGTATAAAATATCGATTTATAGTAAGTTCGATAATTTTCAATAATATTCTATGAAATAGGAATCACTTAGAGAAATTTTGTGGTACGTTGGGATAATGTCGTTTCGATTGATCGTCTCTTTGCTTTCCTCTCTCTCTCTCTCACTCTCTCTCTTTCCATTTCTATTTCTCTTTCTCTATCCTTGCGGAATCGTAAATTCACTTCGCGAAGTACCGCGTGCGGTCGAAGAGCGGAACGAGCACGTCGAACGATTCGAAGTAGCCCTTCGCTTCTCGTTAAAGGATTTCGTGGATAGATACGAGGTACAAGGAGAGTAAGAGAGAGAGGAAGAAGAAGAAGAAGAAGAAGAAGAAGAAGAAGAAGAGGGATAGAGAAAGAGAAATAGGTAGAGGAATAGGGGGATGATAGTTGGAGAAGACGAAGGCGTGCGGATTGCGGCAGCAGTCGCGAGCATTTACGCGCTTCGCAGCCGCAGTGCTGGTAGTTCGAAGTTGCCATTCAAGGCACGTAGATTGCTAACCTAACTTATTTAGCGGTTTTAGCGGTATTTGATTAGTTGAGTGAATTTCCGAACTGTTTCAACCCTCTGCTCGCGTGCTATCGTCTTCGTCTTTCTATCTATCTATCTATCTATCTATCTATCTTTATCTCTTTCTCTATTTATCTTTCTATTTCTCTCTATTCTTACTAGGTTTCAACCCCTTTTTACCTATATGCTTAAAAACATTGTGTAATGAAATATTTGTGAGAGTGTTTTCTTATTGAATGTTTATAGAAGATTATCGGATTAATTTCTAATGTTAAATTTTTGAATGTATTTGAGAATTATAATATATTCTTTTACTTGTGTAGAATTTGATTATTGGTATTATTGGGTTTTAATATATTTTCATAGGAAATTTCTATTATACTGATTTTAGGATTAGGATTATTTTTATATATTTATTTTTTAATGAATTTTTCTATATTGTTTGGGGAATTAGAATTTATTTATTTAGAATTAAATAATAAAAAAAATGAGATACTTCGTGTGATTTTTTATAGAATATTCATACAACATTATCGAATTAGTTTCTAATGTTAATCTTTTGAATGTATTTGAGAATTATATTCTTTTATTTGTATATAGAATTTGATTACTGGTATTTTTAAGTTTTAATATTTTCATAGGAAATTTCTATTATACTGATTTTAGGATTAGGATTATTTTTATATATTTATTTTTTAATGAATTTTTCTATATTGTTTGGAAAATTACAATTTATTAACTAAGAATCAAATAATAAAAGAGATGAGATACTGTTTTCTTATAGAAATTTTATAGAAGATTATCGAATTAGTTTTTAATGTTAAACTTTTAAATGTATTTGAGAATTATAATATATTCTTTTACTTATGTAGAATTTGATTATTGGTATTATTGGATTTTCATTTTCATAGGAAATTTCTATTATTCTGATTTTAGGATTAGGATTATTTTTATATTCATTTTTTAATGAATTTTTCTATATTGTTTGGAGAATTAGAATTTATTAATTTAGAATTAAATAATGAAAGAAATGAGATACTGTGTATGTGTGTGTGTTTTCTTATAGAATGTTTATAGATGATTATCGGATTAGTTTTTAATTTTATAAACTTCTCAATGGAATTAAGAATTATATTCTTTTATTTCTATAGAATTTGATTATTGATATTTCTGGGTTTTAATATTGTCATAGGAAATTTCTATTATATTGATTTAGGAATTATGATAATTTTTTAATATTGTTAAAAGAATGAAAATTCCTTAATTTAAATTTTTTCCTTTTTGTTAAAGTCATATAAGTTCATTTATTCTTATTTGTGGATATTTTAGGGTTTACATTTTAAATAATTGAAACGTATTGAATTTTATTATATTCGATAGAAATGATTGAAAATATTTAGGAGAAATATGATCTTTTCGCCTTGCAATAGGACTTTTACCATAAAAAAAAAATAGCATAATTATGAATTATTTTATAAGATTAATGCAAATATTTGTTTTTTATTATTCCAATCTTCTATATCGATCGAGATAACTTTTTATCTAAATCGTTATGCAAACTTATTGCAGATAAACTTGCATCTTCTTAAGTCAATATTTATTTTCATGTTTATTACTTGAACAATTTCTGTACACACATTCGTGAAAGTACGTATATTTTCTCATATACATTTGCATTATCGTACACACATATGAATCCTCTTACATTCCTTCATATATTACATCTACTTTGTAAGTAGAGCAAGGTTTAAATTATGTTGACTTACCTTGCGAGTAGTTCATGTCCTTTTCTCATGTACTTCGATGATTACTCCTTGCCGGAGTATCGCTTTCACGGAGGATAAACTAACACCTGTAAGAAACGAGATTATCGATTAGTTCAATTAAGTTCACATTTTTTTTTTATCACGAATAACATTTTTCAATAGAGAAACAAATGACACTCTGTATTGTATCATTTTTATTATTAAATATCATTAATTTTAATATCCGAGAGCATTGAATTATTATTAATAATTTACACTTGCTAATTAAATACTATTTTATTTCATAACTGAAATATTTTTTATTTGCATATAGTGTAAAAAATATAATTAATAATTAATTTAAATATATTCGAACAATATTAATTTAAACAATTATACAGAATATCTTTTAACTGATGTTACAAGCAAACTGGGGATGATTCTTAATGAAATAAACGTAATAAAAAGAAAAAAATGTATAATAAAATAATTTCATTTTATAATAATATCGTATCAATATATGAAATACAAAAAATCTAATATGTATATATATATTATTAGAAAAGCAATTATTTTTAATATGAGACGTAAAAGTATAATTGAATGAAAAAGAAAAAACGTAGTAAAAAAAAGAAATGTATAATAAAATAATTCCATAGAATAATAATGTCGTATCATAATATAAAGTAAAAAAATGAATATTTGAAAAGTAATTTTATTTAATATATGATACGTAAAAAGTATAGTTAACGTTTGAAACGTCTTGTTAACGAGCAAAACGATTTTTCTTATTAGGAGTTGTCATGAAGGTAAGATAAAGAGGAAAGAGATCGTCCAGTAGGAGGACACATACACCATAGTCGTAGTTGACCTTTTCCTTGTCGTTGTCCTGAAAGAGGAACGAACATGAGATAGAGTAAATTAGTTCAGGAAACTATTTCGAAGCCGTTTTAACGTCCGGCGTATAATCTAGGATCCCCTTTCGCACAAGAGTTAACTCTTTCTATCTTTTTCTTTATTTTTCTTTGAACTCGTTCTATTCGTTATCCTCGTCGAGTAGGACGACGTATCAGCAAAAAGAAAGAAAGAAAAAGTAAAAGAAAGAAATAGAGAAAGAGAGAGAAAGAGAAAGGTACTATCCTAACCATTCGTTTTCCTATTCGAAAACGCGAAACGTTCGAACCTCGCGTGCTGCAGCTTCTTAATGGCGATCGGAATGTCGTCTAATTAAACCGAAATTATCGATTTCGTAGTGGACATATAGCCGACGGCTACACACGGCGACCAACCGGAACCTAAATCCTTCTCCACATTCCATCCATCCTCGCGAATCCGTCGTTAATGCATTCCTAAACATTCGTCCCCCGATCTCTCTCTCTCTCTCTCTCTCTCACTCACTCTTATTCTCACACACTCAATGTTACCAATCAAGAACTACAGATATTTCGACACTGGCTCGATAATGAAATTCTTTACAAGTTTCAATAACGGTGACACACAGATATATTGCAATTTATTTTTTCTTTTATAATACCCATTTTTCGATACCTAGGTAATATTTGTTTTTTTCTTTTTTTTTTTATTCGTTTCTCATTTAATAACAATTGTTCGAACGGAAACACTTTGAAATGACATTTTAACAGGTTACCGATGGAACTAGAATTATTATTGAATCATGTAATTATATATAGTGTAATTTATAATACATTTTTTGGCTTTTGTCAATTTTTCGATACTATGTTGTGAAGATATGTATCATAGAACACATCTTGTTTATGTTCTAATAATAATCGTTAACTACACACTATTGGTATTAAATAATTTATATATTTTATTGTATCATGTTTATAAGCTTTTATTACTTATTTGAATTTACATTCAAACGTTCAGTATGATAAATACGTTACATACGATTAAACGTTTAAACGTATCACTTGTAAATAATATTTCAACGTAATAAGAAATTCGTGTTAAAAACGCGTTGAGAGTGAAATTAACAATTTGTATAGACCAATTCTATTCTATACCTTTATTACCTTCTTGCACACATTTCTAATAACGATTATTTCAAAACAAAACCTTTAGTTTCTTTTTCTCTCTCTCTCTCTCTCTCTTTTTCTTCTTTATTTTTTTTTTTTTTTTTCTAGGTCTATTAAGTGGAGTTCAAATTACCAGTTCGATAATGCTCTTTTTCTTTATTTCTTTCTTTCCCCAAGAGGTCTAACATCCCCGCAGAGAAATTGTCGATTGGAAAACGAGGTACCTCCAGAGTGGCTGATCGACGGAACGTCGTTAAATCCCCCTCGGTGACCGCAATATACGAGGAGGACTTATTGGCTAACTAAGCCAATACTACCGCAAACGTTCTGTCCATCTGGTGTGCTAATTAGCAACTTGCTATAGGAAACGACGATAGGCGTCTCTAATAATCGAAGATATTACCCTGCMCCCCCCCCCCCCCCCCAACTTATTCGAATCTACAGACTTCTTTCTTTTTATTTTTTTTGTCTTTGTGTGTGTGTGTTTTTTTTTTTCCATATATCAGAAAATATTTCTAATTTTATCTGTCCGATCGATTGTAACATCTTAATTTATAAGGGTATATCGAAAATTCGATTTATTCAATTGCTATAAAATTAAATTTGTTACACTGGTATAGAAAGGAATATAATTATTGAGTTTACTATTTATTGATCCAGTTTACTATTGAAATAGAAGACAACGGAACATTACCATTCTTAGATGTAACAGTTATAAGAAATGAAGACGGAACCATATCAACGAATTGGTATATAAAACCAACAAGCTCAGGAAGATGTATTAATTACTATTCAAACCACCCTTTAAGTCAAAAAATTGGAACTATAAAAGGTTTACTATTCAGAGCTTTAACATTAAGCAATAAGAAGTTTCACAGAGAAAATAAGGAAAAAATAGAGACCCTTTTAAAGAATAATAACTATCCCAAGAGTCTCATAAACATGGTATTTAATGAATTCAAAATTGACAAAGATCGTGTAAAAAAACCGATT